AAACCTGATATCTAGTATGGCCTGCGAATTCGGTAGGTATGGTATGGCAGGTATGGTCTCGTATAGTACGCATGGTATGGTAGGGGAGGGTAGGTAATACGATACGATAGGTATGGTATGGCAGGTATGTTATAGTATAGTACGGATGGTCTGGTAAGATATAATATGGTATAATGTTGTACGTAATAGTATAGTACTCATGGCGATGGTAGGGCATGGCAGACAGGATATGGTATAGGTGAAGGAGAAGTAGAGGGTGGTCTAGGAAAACAAGAACCCCACTCAGGCTGTGGGGAAAAAACGAAATGGGCACAAATGCCCGGACTCCCCCCAGACTATCCCGCCTCATCCCAGATCTTCCTGGGCATCGACGTTTCGCTCTGTCTCTGTGTGCGTTCTCCCCTCCTGCTTTGCCTCTCCGACGTGAGGGTTAGACACGGCTTCGCGGCGGCGGCGGCGGGGCAGGGCGGCCGCTGCACGAGGAGCACGAAGACCGCGACCGCGGGATGGCCCGGAACACCGGCGCCACGCCCCCCTCCTCGTCGCCGGAGGCCTCGCGGGAGAGCGCTGCCACCACGCCGCGGGGCGGCGAGCAGGGCGGGCAGGGCCTCCAGGAGCTGGGCAGCTCCTTGCGGGCAAGATTCATGTCCATATCCAGTGCCTCTTGGACTTTTTTGGAAGCGGCGCCACAAGGCCGAGGCGCACTGGATATGGATAAAAATCGAGCCTCTAGGGGGCAAATTTATCCATATCCAGTGCGCCTCGGGTTTCTTGGGAAGGGATCCCGAAACTCCATACTGCAGTGGATATGGACAGAAGTATTGCCCGCACTCCTCTCTGCTTCTGGGCGGGGGGGGCGTAGAAGACTCGGGGTCGAGGGACTCGGGCTGTCCTCACGGGGCCATCATGACAAGGACGAGGCCCAGCCTGAAATTTGACGCGAGCTCCCGCTGCAAGCATGCCACTACGACCGGACCGTCCAAACCCAGGACGCGCTGGTCGAAAAGCGTCGGCGAGCCCGAATCCCTCTCACACGATCCTTATGTTCCCCCGCTCTCGGGTCGCAGGAGGACCTACGACTACTGTGTGCTCCCTTCGGAGGCGCCCATTCCCCTGCCTTGAAGTTGGGCAAAGACGACGAGGACGAGGATGATAGGAAGGACCACCAAAGGTTAGGTCTGGCCTGTCCCCCCTACAGGGGCATTTTGGACTAAAAATAAAAAGTACTAAAAAAATGCTCAAAATATGCCCAACAATATTTAAACTAATTGTCCCCGTACTATTTTTTACTATTTTTGAATATTCTCCCTGTAGAGGCACAGGCTCGACTTAATGCTGGTCCAGTGTGTCTCGACGCGGGCACAGACGCTGGGTTCGACCAGGAAGATGCTGGCTCACCCAGCTCAGGAGGTGCCGGTAGTCGTCCCCTCCGCTGCACTTGCGGATACCCACCGTTCGGAAGAAGAGGGTAGAAGGAGGAGCGAGAATGCGTGCCGTGGAGGCCTGCTTGGAAAAAGCCTTGGACACGTCTGAACCGCCCAGACAACTGGGGGGGGGGCCTCCGGACACGGGCCTCTCTAACTGCCCCCCCCCCCCTCCAAGGGTGGGGTGGGCGGGGTTCGAGAGGGGGGGAGGGGCTCCCCTAAATAGAATCCTGTGAGTGCTCAAACAAGCACGCATGCAATGCTGCGACAGCTGGATCGAACTTTGAAAGGATCCTAGTCGGGCTCGGTCCAACTCGCATAGGATCCAGCTATACCTGGATCCAGCTCTGCTTGAATGCATGCTGATAGCTCTTGGACAAGCTCGAATCGAATCCTGCTGTCGCTAGATCTAGCTTGCATGGCATCCTAGTCGTGCTCGACCCAACTCTGTTGGAATCCTACTGTAGCTCGATCCAGCTATGAATGGTTCCTACTAGGGCTCGATACATCTCACATAGTACTCGACTATAGCTAGATACAGCTCAACTTGAATCCTGCTAGTGCTCGATCGTCGTCGTCATTGCCCGACGGTGCTGGCGCTCGCCGTCGTCGGTTGCCACTAGTGAGCGAGGGAGGGCCTCCCCCCCCGGTTCGAATCCCCCTCCCTTTGCAATTCAGGGCCGGCCCCGCCGGTTCGAACTCCCCCCCCCCTGCACTTCAGGGGGGGGGAAGGGGGCGGGCCCGGTTCGACTGCACCCCCTTCCGCGTCCACTGAACGCGCTCCTTCCTTCAAACATGATGTATGAAGGACTTGAGATCAGGTTCAATGGCAGCCCGCCCCCTGCATGCACCCACACATGCATACACGTTCAGCGACCGATGGGCGAGGGCGAGGGCGCGCGCGCGTGCCCACCGAAGCAGGGCGCGTTGAGGCAACGGAGGCTCCGGATCGGTCCCTGGACCCCTCCCGGGTTCCATACACACACACACACACCCGACACACACACACACCACCCTCCCGAGCTGCGTCCCGCCGTGGCGACGAGGGGGCACCCCCGAAGGCCAACTGCCGCTGCCGCCACGCTCCCTCCT